GTAGCAGTCTATAGTAAAGGAGTAACTTGGAAGTTGGAACCTTTGACGAAATTTGAGATGGCGAGACAAACAACTGTAAATAATATTACGTCAGCATTCTGATTTGAGATTAAGTCGCCCACCTAAAATGAGGCGGGAGGGGTCGGGGCGCTCAATGTTAGGATGAGCTCGATAGTACAAACTATCGGGCTCGGAGAGATCGGGGGGCGAGGAACTCAATGGTACAAACCACCAAGGTCGGAAACTTAAGGGGACGATACTACTACAACTGTTTCATATGGTTGTAGTATCGTCTTACCCTTGCAAACTAACACAGCAGTTTGTACTGTTGTGGTAGTCATTTCCTAAACCAACACAACGCTTTGTGGACTCTCCACTTGTCCCGTCTATTGTTACCCCGGAGTTCGATATTTGGTGGCCACAGCGGTTTTGTGGAATGATTACACAATTTTATTGTCAAGCCTGGTACTTAAGCTTGGTCGGTCGGTCTCCTTCCTCTCTCTCTCCATCATCTCTAACTCATCGGTTTGTACCGTTGTGATAGTCCTACTCCTACTACTCCTCCTTCTAACACATTGGTTTGTACCTCTGTGATAGTGCTTACTCTTCCTCGCTCTCAACACATTGGTTTGTACCTCTGTGATACTGTCTACAATCAACGCCATGCCCGGCCAACTCAACATCTTTGTGCGTGAGGGGAAGATCTACACCTCCCTCAACGCATCTTCCCTTCCCGACGACATTCCTCACGAGCCAGTCTGGGACCCCCGGGACGATCACGACGCATCTCCGGACGACAGCACTTCACCCCTCACTACTCGCTGGGCATATGCAGCTCGTCCATGGTTTCCTCTCGTTCCCTTGAATCCTAGCTTCGACGGTCCCATATTTGAGTGTCTAAACCACTCAATGTTTTCTCTTTACACGGAGGTCGACAGCCAGGGGAAGCACCTTCTCCATCGCGACATTAGAGAAAAATGGCGCAAACTAGAGCAGAAGTTGCTCTGGTGCCAGGAGCTTTTGGGAGCTGGACTCCTAATTCCATGGGGCACTGTGCTTCCACGCGCTCCCTCTCAATATGGGTACCTGAGGTCGCACTCAGACGCGAAGCTTGCTAAGAAAGTCGCACTAAGATCGCGCAATGCATTCCTACGTACGTGAACCTATCTTCAATCTCACCGTAACTGACGCATGTCTAGTAATCGCTGCTGCGTGCTCATGGCACATCATGAGCCGTCTATATCACGGATCAACCCATCCTTGGATGGCTCTTCTGATCGACAACCCCCGAAGCCCCATACCGGCCGAATGGGTCCACGAATTATCGCGTTCATTTGTCGGAGATCTGTCGGCCAAAGTTCCGCGCACCGGCGTCATCATATCATCTGTCCATTGCCCTTGGGAGCTACAGCTCCCTATATTCGAATGCTTTTCAATCCCGGTCTGGGTTCACTGCAAGCAGAACAACTCTGTGTTCGACGCGAAGCTGCGTCACTATAACCTGTCCAAGGAAGCTGTCGCACGTGCAATCGAGGCGCAGCGCGTAAGTAATGACACCTGGGGTCAGAATGATGGCTGGGGCCAGGATGATGACGTGTGGGGTAAGCGGGATGATGGAACTCAGAGCGGGAGTGCCCTTGGGTGGGATACCAATGCAACTCAGCCTGCCCTTGGGTGGGATGTCAACGTAACTCAGCCTGCCCTTGGGTGGGATGCCAACGCAACTCAGCCTGCTCTTGGACGGGGAACCGCACCTGAGAATCCTCAAGTGGGCCCTCACTTTCCGGCCCCTCAACGACTCAGTGGCCAAAAGTCGGGAGAAGATTGGAAGACTTTTTTTACGCGACGCCGCGAGGAAAATCGGAAGAAGGAGGAAAAAGAATCCCCTTCTCAACGGCAATCGCGTGAGAGTCGGGAACGGGCAGCGAAGAATCATAGTCTTCCTGGAAAGTCCAGTACGGCCACGGTATTTGAATGGCAACCTCAAGACGAGTTCGAGGGCTTTTTACTTCGCATCCGCCTCACGAAGGCTGAGGTATCGGGGACTTGGGGGAACTACAGCAACTCTACCAGGCTGTACAACTCATTCAGAAATGAGTGGGACTTGTGTGATCAGCTGGATCCCACCAGCACCCCCGACAGCGACTGGGAAGAAGACCAGTTCAATTTCCCGGACCCCATCCCTGATCCTGTGCCGCCACCTCCCCCTGTACCTCCATCATTATCCAGCTTCTTGCAGGATATTCGCACTTACTTCGGGCGTCATGAGGTTGCAGCCTCGTCCAATTACACCGAGGGTATTGAACGCTTCATAACCCACTTACGATTTCACCTCGGCTTCCATCTGACAGCATCAAGCACTAGATCCATTGGTGGAACCTCCAGTGAGGTGCAGAATAACAGCGCCAGCACCAATGGTGGAGCCGTCAGATCCAATGGTGGGACCACCAGATCCAATGCTGGATCTGCCACTTTTGAAAGTTGGGTCAAGAAGCAGAAGTTCAACCACGTCTGCAACATTGTCGGAGATTCAGGTAAGGATGTCGACTCAATCTCAGACGTGCAAAAGCATGTCATTACATGCTTCGTGGGTTATCTTGTCACCCTCCCCACATCACAGTTGTCTGAGATCCCGGCCGATCACTGGGACCTGGGACCTGGCACTCCTTTGTCGGCGTCGAATGCATTCATTCGAGTTTGCTATCTCGACATCCCTGGCCAGGAGCGATTCTACGTAATCCAGCCAAGCCAATCAAGAAGTCTCGTCCCGTGGAAACTCATGGTTCCTGACGCTGCTACAGCTGTAATGTGCCTCCGTCGTGACTGGGGGTCCGACATCTCGACCATTGCCCTCAAGCTCCTGCAAAAAGGTATCACGTTCAAGACACTGCAGCCCATGGCAGTTTCTCCTGAGGCTAGGCGCCCGCTCAGCGAACTTCGTACATTCTCGCTTGGATACTTCTGGCCCCCCTTCAAGGCCGTTTACGCTGATTATATCGCATATGAGCAGTACTGTCACGAGTTCATGAATGAAGATCGTGCACGAGCTGCTCTGCTTCGCGGTGGAATCTTATGGCGGCTAGCACTACATAGCCTTGGCTTCGATAACCTCCCCTCGGCCCTCATTGGCATTTCATGGGATGCTGTCCCATTTGGACAAATGCTCACCATCAACGGCGAGACTCACTTTGACGACGAGTTATCGGAAGAGGAGGTCAATTTCATTTGTGGGACGTATTATGTATACACAAGTAAGTTTTCTTAATTCACATTGACCTGCAGTGCGCTCAAATTTGAATCATCAGACAACGGATGCATAGAGAAGTTGTCTTGGTGGCCTAGGCCGCAGGCCTGGGCTAGGTCAGGGTTGGATGTGGGGTTCTGGTCTGCTCGATGCGAAAGCTGGTTCCAGACATGCCTTGAAAACATCCGACAAGGTGTTTCTCGTCGCCGCGATTCATCCGACAACAATGGTCCGGTGAACAACACACATTGGAAACATGGACTCAAATTCAATGGAGCGACGAAGAAATTCAAGAAGAATCTTGATGCAGCATGTTCTGACTTTCTCACTACCAAAGCAAGTGGTAAGCTATCTTTTTTGTCGTTTAATGTGCAGCTCTGATGTCCTCTTAGCATTCACGGACAATTAGATTATTTTGTGTCACTACTGTACTGTACTATTAGAATATTAGAATACATGGGTACGGGGGAACACATACGACGAAACATGTCCAACATAGGGTCTGCGACCCCAAAGGACTTAATCTGATGCGAAAAAAATTGTACTATTATAGAATACATGTATACCGAAAGCATATGACGAAACATGTCCAACATGGGGTCTGTGACCCCAAAGGACTTATTCTGATGCGAAAAAAATTGTACAAGTTTTCTTCAAATGAACAGAACTCTACTCGTGCACTTGTAAGTGGGCGATCGTTGGGCGATTAATTTTATCTGGAGACAAAACTTGATGTTTTATGTTCACGTTTTATTGTCAAGGGGTATTTTAAATTTAAACGCCCGTCTAAGTGGTGGCCCAAACTTCGTATTATGAGCAGGCATTTGGTCACATGCAATGCTTAAAGTTTTTTGGAGTCTTAAATGTGAAGCTTCATTTCGAAGTATAGGCCAGCATTAAAGATGTATTTATATTTCTTATTGTTGATGGCATTCAGCCGGCAACAAAATGTTTGCTATTGCTTTATATTTTTCTTGTCACGCAAGATCTCTTTAACATTTGAAATTTTATATCTGCTTACATGACAAGCTAAATACTAAGTATTGCCTTGACATTTCACACGACATTCAGACTTGTCTTAAATATTGCGGACACCATAGTGATGGTAAAATGAATTTTCAGAGATTCATGTCTATGTACCGATAACTAATATTTATTGCTGTATACATAGGTATATTCAGCCGTAGCAAAATGATATCATCTTATACTTCCCACGGCTACAAAATCAAGGACTCATGAATTCACTGATGTCAGGCGGCCTCTATCTTTGAATGTTCTCATAGGACAAGCAAGTCACCGATAGCATAGCGGCCGGTCGCGAGCGCTTCCCACGCTGGTCGCCGTCGGGTTCTTCAGAACTTGTATATAATATGTTATTGAACCTGGCGCGGATGAGGTCGGACGGTCGGATGACCATTCAACCTTTCGAATTGACCCTTTCGAAGTTTTAAATTCCAGGTGCACTCGATGATACCTCGTGGCCCGGTTATGATCTCCGCCGGAGGATTCCGAAAATGCACGTAGACAGCCATGAACATTGGAGATCAGCACATTTACAAAAGATATCTAGGTATGTACTATGGGCACACTGAACGGGCTCCTTATACAGATAACGTACACATATTGGGCAAATCGTAGAAAAACCACTAACGGTGAAGCTAGATTTCGCCAGCAATGCCGTCCTCTAACTGCTGGCTTCACCATACCTGAAAGATTGTTCTCACACCATGCTTCTCGAACCCCGACCTACCGTGTCCTGGCCAACTCCATCGTGACTATGATCGTTTCAAGCAACTCTAGGGTCAAATCCAAATGACACAGCTGATTTTTATGGCCAAAATATTTAAAACGGCGGGCTGCAACCAAAGATGCAAGCTGGTTTCATACTTGACCATCTAACATTGCTATGTCGAGTCATTCAATCCCCATTGTTGATTTCGCTCCGTTCTTAGACGGATCTGCGAAACAGCAGGTTGCAGATCAGCTCCTCGGGTCCTTCAAATCGTATGGACTCGTCTACATCACGAATTTCGGCATTCCGGCGGGAGAGGTCCAAGAGATGTTTGATTGGGTGAGTTAAAAACCGCCTCCCTAGCTAGGACTTCTAACCTATGAGTCGCGCGATAGTCGAAGCGCTTTTTTGCCCTTCCGCACGAAACCAAAATGCTCGCACCTCGTCCAGACTCTGGAAGGCATCATCGAGGTTAGACAATTCTATTGCCAAATACTAAGATTAGAGGTTTAGTCACTTTCACATATGTCGTCTCTCAGGTTACGCCTTCCCCGACCGGGAGAAAGTTTTTCAACTCTTGGATTCCGGAGATTCTGCCACTGAGGCTGACATATCACTCCCAAGCGTGAAAGAGTCGTTCGACATCGGGCGTGAGGACGATGACTTGATGCCAACCATCTGGCCGCCCGATCACATCCTCCCCGGCTTCAAGGAATCATGTTTGGCGTTCTATTGGGTCAGTGTGTCCACTTGGGCCTGACCTCTTGTACCTTGATTCTGACGGAGAAGAAGAAATGCCACGAGGTTGAGAAGAACGTCCTTCGCGCGCTCGCGCTGGGTTTTGGCTTGGAGGAGGAGTGGCTTGTGAGGTATCATAGGATGCCCGATAATGGGTTGAGACTGCAACACTATCCCAGGTAAGCTTTCATTGTCGATCGACTGATGTGAGCTTGAATCATGATACTAGCGTCGCCCTCGAATCTGTCCTTACGAACAAAGTTGCACGAATCTCGAATCATACAGATTTTGCTACGCTTACAGTCAAGTCTTCCTTTCACACCATACATTGAGGCTCACCCAAGGCAGATCCTCTTTCAAGACAACGTGGGGGGCCTGGAAGCCGAGGATCCGAATGAGTCTGGGAGGTTTTTGGTGTGTAACCGTGAGGTCGCCTCCATACTAAAGTCAAAACTAATTTTTGGTTGAAGGCGGTACCCTCAATTCCGAACTCGATCATTGTTAATGCAGCGGATTTCTTGCGGCGATGTGAGGGTTCCTTTAGTCTTGCTGGGACCATATAGCTGCCAGTGCTGATTTGACTTCTGTAGGGTCGAACGACACGATACGGAGCCCGATGCATGGCGTCCGCGCACCGCCGGATGCGGTAGCGAAGGATGGTATGCTTCCAGATCGATATTCTATCCCCTACGTGAGTTTATGCCCGCTATTCCTCCGTCCTGTAGCTGATAAGTCGACATATATATCAGTTCTGTGCTGCCGTGCGCCATCTTTCCCCTTTTCATGCCAGATTTGTCGATTGATGGTTGGCATGTACAGGACTTTTCCACAGTCGTTGATACGATCCCTGGTACGTGGTCAGCAGATTATCCCAAGAAGTATGAGCCCGTGTCGGTGAGTTGGTTTGCCTTCCAGGTGACAAATGGAAATTACATATATTGATGTCAATGGTGACGGAATAGGTGGGAGAGTATGTCATGAAGCGGCTTTACGATGGTTATTAAAGCTGGCGAAAGGTGCTATGGGTTGACATAAGTATGGTAAATATCTGTTTGTCCGCATGTTCCAAAGTTTATGTAAGAATGAGCACAGAGCTTGTCAACTGTCAGCACCACTGCGCGTCCGACTAAGCGTCTCAGACGCTCTTAGCTTTACCGTTCTATTCGAAATTTCGAGTCGAGCTTGTCATACAAGGACTCGCATTCAAGTGTCCCGATGGCCACAAACAGGAATGCAGGGCGCAGATGGTGGGGCGGCACTAGTTTCTTATGAAGTCGTGAGCTTTCTTAACATTGCCAGTACTTGGACACATATGGGAGGTTGAAACTTGAAACCCACCAACAGACGATGGCATCTATTTCATCAACGCTCGCGTTATTACCGCGCTACTACAGATGAAGAAACCACTCTAGAAATTTGTATGTTAATGTTCTTCACTCTATCATCTTTGAATGTTCTCATTGGACATGCAAGTCACTGATAGCATAGCGGCCGGTCGCGAGCGCTTCCCACGCTTGCTCGTTCGTCGCCGTCGGGTTCTTCAGGTATATAATATGTTATTGGGAACGATGACCATGCTGGCGCAGATGAGGTCGGACGGTCGGATGACCATTCAGCCTTTTGAATTAACACTTAGTTTTAAATTCCAGGTGGCACTCGATCATACCACCTCTGATCTCCGGAGGATTGCGAAAGTGCATGTCGACGGCATGGGGTTTACCAGGATATTTACAAAAGATTGGATGGATCTAGGTATGTACCATGAGCCCGGCACACTGAACGGGCTCCTTATACAGATAATGTACACCCATTGGGCAAATCGTAGAAAAGCCTCTAACGGTGAAGCTAGATTTCGCCAGCAATGCCATTTTTCCCCTCTGGTTTCTCTAGTTGCTGGCTTCACCATACCTGAAAGATTTTCTCACACCATGCTTCTCGAACCTCGACCTGCCGTGTCCTGGCCAACTCCATCGTGATTATGATCATCTCAAGCAACTCTAGAGCCAGATTCAAACGACAAAGCTGATTTTTATGGCCTAAATGTTTAAAATGGCGGGCTGCAACAAAAGATGTAAGCTAGTTTCATACTTGACCATCTAACATTGCTATGTCGAATAATCCAATCCCGATTGTTGATTTCACTCCGTTCTTAGACAAATCTGCGAAACAGCAGGCTGCAGATCAGCTCCTCGGGTCGTTCAAATCAGCTGGATTTGTCTACATCACGAATTTCGGTATTCCGGCGGGAGAGGTCCAAGAGATGTTTGACTGGGTGGGTCAGCCGCCTCTTCACTTAGAATTTCTGACTTACACCACGAAAGCTGAAACACTTTTGTTCTCCTCACGAAACCAAAATGCTTGCGCCTCATCCGGATTCTGGAAGCCACCATCGAGGTTAGATCTTTCATCATTGGCTGCAAGTTCACTCGCCTTCACATATGTCGTCTCTCATGATACTCTTACCCTTGCCAGGAAAAAGAAATACAATACTCGGATTCTGGGGACGAGTTTACCATTGCACCACCAAGCATGAAGGAGTCCTTTGAATGCGGAAGCGAGGATAACGACTTTATGCCAAACATCTGGCTGCCAGATGGCGTCCTCCCCGGGTTCAATGAAGCGTGTTTGTCCTTCTTTTGGGTGAGTGTGTTCCATCGCAGTTAAATTCTATGTACGTGAATTCTGATGGAGTATACAGAAATGTCACGAAGTGCATCAGTGAACCCATGAGGAAAGTAGATAGCAATAAATAACAATATATAGTACATAATCGCAAGAACTAGCATAATTTTGCTATCGACAATCACATTGTTATGTTTGACCTTATAGAGGAAAGACGTGTCCCTGATTATCATATAAAATGTTATGAAATGCCATAACGAAAGGGAGGTTCACAACTCTGAAGCATCAAATAATTGACGTGAAAATATAAAGCTTTACAATGCTTTATCTAATTGCAAAATTTACATGATATCTGCGAGAATGATACTACCTGGAGTAAGTTAGACGGAACTACCAAAAGCGCCAGCATGACAGATTGCCTGCAACAACCTGCCATTTTGTCACCAGTACCAAATTATTCTCATCCTCAGCACTCGTTTTGTGAAGCAAATTAATTTTATTTATATTTAAATACTACATATGTAGTTACAGGACAAAAAGAAAACAGGAAAAGATAGCGGAGAGATGAATGAAAGGAGGGACCAAGGTCAGCAAGGAACCACGAAAAAAGGCCAGCAAGGAGCCACGAGGAAAGGAAAGGAAAGGACCACCATGTGTAAGGATTATTCCCTACGTGCCGACCATGCTTAAAACTGAGACGCTCGAACGGATCATACGTTCGAGCTAGTCCATGTGATTCATTGATGCGAAGAGTGCAACTCTTCGCATCCGAACTACAAGGATACATTCCTTTTCATTTCTCTTACTCTTTTGTCATCATACCTTGTGCTCTGATTTCACGATTCCCGTTTCTTCACCGATATCTCTCAAAGCACCATATGCTACTTACTCTCGTTCCGGTCTAGTCAAGAACTCGAAATCGTATATAATCAGCATACGTAGATTCATACTTACAGCGAATCAGACAGTGAATTCCCCGCTCCAAGAACGTTTGAAAACCTCTCAGAAAAATCTCCTCTCTCTAGCCTTGTTCAAATTCGTTTCGTGTTTTACGCTGACACGTCTAAATATCTATCCGTCTTGTTCACAGTTCCCCACCGAACTAATCAAGCCTTACACATTGGAGCCCACCGCGAGGGGAATTGCTTAGAACAAACCCTCGTACCTCGAATTGATCCGCTGATCCATTTTCTGATCCGCAGATCTTTCTTCTTCCATCCGGTCATTGACCATATTCCTTCATCATTACCAAATACTACCATCCAAACGTGCAGATACGACTCGAGCAGCAAGAAGGGCCATCTGCGCTGGCTCCTCCAAACGAAGCCATACCACCTAAAAAGCGTCGAAACCGCGCCAATACCCTAAAACCTACCTCTACTCCCTTTATTCAAGAAGCACCTAAAATTCCTGTCGTCACTCCCGTTCGCTCAAAGTTAGATCGACCTTTCGGCCTTATCCACGACGCCTTGGAAGACTCAACCGAATCTTCCTTATCAGGCGATACTATAAGTTGTCTCCCACGCGCAGAATCACCCTTCCCCGTTATACCCAATCAACAGAACTTTATCCTTAGACCCGCCATATTCGACCCAGATACTCCCTCTCTTCCGTCAACACGAAACGAACCCGAAGTTACTAAATCAACAAAACCCGTCACCACACTCTTCCCCATTTCCAAACCCGACTTCATCGCTAGAACACCCTCGTTAAGCTTAGCCCCAACACCGGCAGCACTTCAACCCCCAATTGTTTCTGCTGCTTCGAACACTTCCATAGCACTCCCCTCCTCAAATACGACTCCCTCCGTGCCTTCTCAACCTTCTTTTGCCATGTCCAACACATCTAAAGGCATCAATGCGATGCCGGGAGCTAATTTGAGTAAAGCACCATCCTTCAACGGGGAGACTTCCGAACTCCTCGAATTCTTCGAGGATCTCGTGTCGGCCTGTGCTCTCAACAGTGCCGAGAAGTGTAAGACGATTGTTCGATATGTTGACTTACAAACTAAACGCTTCTGGGTAATGCTCACCGGATACGAGAGTAAGGATTTCACTGTTTTCAAAGACAGTATCCTAGCACAGTACTCCGGCGCCGCAAAAGGACAACACTATACCATCTGGGACCTAGAGCGCATCGTGATCAACAACGTCGACAACGATATCTCGACAGAAACGGAACTTCTCCAGTATTATAGACAGTTTCTGTTACGCACTCAAATAGATCTGTTATGCGGAGCCCTAAGAGGGGCGTCGTCCGCTAACGTTCGTGACGTAACCGGAAGGGTCCGGTGTAGCGACTGAGACTGGCGACGTCGAGTCGGAAGATATCAGAGACGCGCGTGTCATGTGACTTCTAAGACAGATGTCTTCAAAGTCACTGACATTCTCAAAGTAAGGACAGTCTTGTCCGAACGATGAGGTGGTCGATCGAGGTAGACTTAGGCGCGATGAGCACCTAAGAAAAGATACTAGAGACTGAAGCTGAGGGGGCTTCAGAGGGAAGTATGTTCGAGGGAAGATTGAGTAGATTCAAGTTAGGGAATCTAGTACAGAGTGACCGACTACTTATACTAAGTGGAAAGGGTTAAGGGCAAGGCTACCATACTGTAGGTAAGGGCAAAGGGGAAACGGAAAGGGTATAGGTACGCTGGTAGCAGAGCCTGATTAGTGATGTAAGGTCGAATGTGGAATGAGACCGAGAAACGTTGGAACGAGCCAACGGTAAATGATACAATGTGCAGCATGCACGAGTCAAAGGAAAGATAAGACAAGCCACATTGGTGGCACGAGTCAGAACGAGTCATAGCCCGAAGGCACGTGCGCACGTTGGTGCGATAGGAGGGGGATGAGGGACGGGAACGGTCCCGAGGATCCGGTCAACGGATAGTCGGTAGAGAAGTACGAGCCAGAGGCATACGAGCGCGAGGACGAAGGGAAAAATGATAGGGGGGCCATGTAGCCGATGTTACTTGTAACATTACCCCCGTTTCAAGGTAGAGTTCCACGAACTCTTTAATCGTCGTCCAGGGGAACGTAGTCGTCCTGGTTGTTATACCACGCGGGGTCGAAGTCGAGGTCTTCGAACCAGGAGGCGACTTCGATTGCATTCTCTTCGCGTTCTTGCTCAAGGCGAGCAGCGTCCTGGTCATACGCAGCTTCGAGCTGCTGCATGTCCCTGTAGAACCGGTTGGAAGAGGTTCCACGGCGAAGGATCTTCCTGCCGTCGAGTCGAGGGCAGAAAGGAGTGAGATGTTTTGGGGCAAATTGCCCACAAATGCGGCAGAAGTATTGCGCGCAGTGTTTCTGTTTGTGTCCATAGACACGGCACTGGCGACAGACAACGTTGCTGCGGTAGACCTGGGTGGTCTCGGTGGCATCACGACGCGCGTCATTGATGGCGTCTTCCTGGGCTTCCTCGTGAGGATAGTGCCTAGTGAAGTTCTGGGTGCGCGGGCGATGCGCATGGGAGAGGGGTAGTCCTAGGGACAAGATGGATCGTGCACAAGCACGGTGGTTTCGGCGTTGCGGAGTGGGAAGAGGTTCCGGAGAACCAATGGAGAGGTGTGGGACTACTTCAGTAGGTACCCAATCGTCGGGGTTGAGAACAGGTGGTTCGGGAGGGCACTCATCCAACTCTGGGATGGTGATAGAGATGGTGTCGACATCAAGGATGGGGGAGGGGTTACGTGGAGCGTAGAGCTCGCGTTCGTATTCGTTGTAGAGACGGTCGATCTCGGGATTGGTCCACTGGGTGACGTTGGGGATATGCTCTGGTGATTCAGAGCGGGGTAGTTGGGGAAGGAAGGGGGTCGGAGCTCTGTCATAGACAGCACGCTCGATGACTGCAAGCGGGTCGGGAGGGGGATTAAATGCCCGCTCCTCCTCGACGGCCATGACAGTGGCATGGAAGTTCCTGAGCTCAAACAGATTTAGCAAGGCTCGTTTGATCTTGCCTTGGTTATATCTGGTCGAGACAGTGGATAGGGAAGTCTCCCTAGCCAGGTCGATCCTGGTGATATCGCCGGTGAGGGCGTCGGTGGCCCTGAAGGCCTGGACGAGGTTCATGGTTATGTCGTCGTTGGTGCGGTTGAGATAGTTGTCGAGTCGGATTGCATACTGGGGGTCGCAGATGACTGCTTCCCAGTAGGCCCGTTGCCTATCTTGGACAACTGAGCGAAGGGATGGTCGTCGGAAGACGGTGTATCCCGGGGGGGAGGGCCTATCATGGCCAGGCGTTGGCTGGCTTGTCAGGTCGCGGTCGGAGGCAGACGCATGAGAGGTAGCGGATCGGTGTGAGGAAACAGACGACGCTGAGACCGACATAGTGAAGCGTCTTTCCTTGGGTAGTGGCATAGGTGGGGTACTGGGTAATGGGTCGCTGTTTGTCGATGGGTTTGGGTTTTGTGGGGCGGTGGCAATTGCGGATTCGTTGGCGATGGAAGGTTTTGGTGTCGGTGTGGATGGGTTCGTCGGTGGGGTCAGCCCTCGTGTAGTGAGGGCGGTAGGAGAAGTTGCAGTGGCGTTTGGTGATCAACATGAGATGGCGATTGAAGCGATCTTGAGTCGCTTCTTATACGCCTTCAGGAGCTCCGCTGTGGACTTCAATTCTGTTTCGGGGAGCCACGTTCGTTCGGAGGCAGGATAGCCAACCCAAGACACAAGGTACCGGCGACGCGATCCGGTACCCTTGTGTTGGAGGATAGCTTCCACTTCGTAGTGTTCCTCTCCATCGATAAGATCAGGAGGAGGTTCGGTGAAATTCAGTCCATGCACGTCTGTCTCCTGATAGGAGGAAAGTTCCGAGGCATGGAACGTGGGGTGGATACGCCAGCTGGCAGGCAGCTTCAGCTGGAATGTGATGGGGGAGAGGACCTTCTGGATTGGGAAGGGTCCATATCGTTTCGGGGCGAGTTTCCTAGAAGGGAATCCGGTGATTAGGTTCGTGGCAGATAGCCATACCTTATCACCAACGTTCCATGGCTTGTAACACTGGCCATAGGAACGATCAGCCATGCGTTGCTGCGTGAGGCTGTGGCATGCAAGGGCTTCTTCACGGATCTTGGCGAGTGACTTGACTCGGTCTTCGGCGGTTGGTAGG